ATCCTGTTTAATTTTTTAAGGCCTTAACTGTCCTCAGATTGATCCCTAAGGTCCTTTGTACTCCAGAATTCATCAGGACCTGAGTTCATCCGGGGGACCTCTTCCCCATCCTTTTGATCTCTGCCCCCTAGTTCTGCTTCTCCAGCAGCTGTCCTGCTGAAGTAGAATGCGAGCCACATATGTAATTCTAAGTTTTCTAGTAGCTACACTGGAAAAGTAAAAAGAAACAAGTGAAATTAATTTCAACAATACACTTATGTAACTTAGTATATCCAAAATATTATCATTTCGACATGTAATCAATACTAAAAAATCATTAATGAGATATTTTACATTCCTTTCTTGTTCACTTTTTACATTCTTTTTTCATACTCATTGTTCCAAATCCAGTGTGTATTTCACACGTTCAGCACATGTCAGTGCAGATGTTAAATTGAATTTATTGTGGAAATACTTGATCTATATTTAGGTTTTATGAAGTTCACTATTGAAAAAGTAAATTCACACACTCGAGTTGTTCCAAAAATATGTAAAATTTTCCACTAACTTTATTGAGTGTCATTTTTAAATTAAAATTAAAGTTTGAAATCCAGTTCCTCAGGCACACTAGCCACATTTCCAGGGCTCAGTGGCCACGTGTGGCTGGTGGCTCCCGCATGCACAGCCCTGGAGTAGAGCATATGTAGCTTCCGATTGTTGGTTCTCAGCTCCAGCTGCTCATCAGAACCCAGAATCCACAGAAATGCCTGTAAAAGTGCAGTTCCTCGGCCCTCCACCTCCCCCCTTACTCACCCAGAGGCTCCGGGAGGACTCTGGTTCCATCAGGCAGCCTCTGACCCCCTGAGAGCATGACAGTGGCTGGGTGTCTAATCTTCCCCTTTAATGCTGGAGGCGGCTCCAAGGAGAAGAGAATTCGATGTCACCGCCTCTGATATAACTTGATGAGCTCTTGCTGCAGCCACTTCTAGAAGGCTTTTAGACATCCACTCATTTTCCCAGAGGGACAAGACCATCACCTGTGACCCCATGACCTTTTGGCCTTAGGCCTGGCAAGCAGGTTATGCTCTAATTCACCTTTATTTTTATTGTCTTCCGCAGACAATATACATGAGTTTATACACACAAGTGTGTATAAAATATCTATATTGTTTAAAGATGAATAACAAACTTGCATGTTTCCACCAGCAGGTTAAGAACTGCATATTGCTTGTTCCTGGGAAGGCCCTGGTGCTCTCCTGTTACAGCCCGGTCCTCCCTGAGAGGAGTCTGCCATCCTGAAGTCTGTCAGCCGTCCCCTGCTTTTATTAGAGCGTCACCTCCTGTACATGACTCCCTGAACTGTGCACTGTGTATACAGAGAACGTTGTGCTGTGTTGATTCTGCTGTGACTTGTCCTGTGTTCAGTGTTGTTTTGGAGACTCGTGGACACGGATGCACACAGTTGTCATTTATTTGTTTCCTCTGCTGGGTAGCATCCCATTGGGTGGGTATATCACACTTTATCCTGTCTCCTCCTGGTACGTCAGGTTGATTGCAGTGTGCTCCTGTTATGTGGTGCTGCTGTGGGCAGTCCTGTGTGTGGACAGTCCTGTGTGTGGACAGAAGCTCCTTTTGGGTGAATTCCTCAGAATGGCACTGCTGGGCAAGGCGCCAGCAAATATTCAACTCCTTTGATGCTGAGAGTGGTTGTACAGTTCATCCTCCCCAGCACGGATGAGACCTGATTGTCTCTTCAAGTGTTGTGGTTTGACAGGGCACAGGGTGACGAGGGGACCCCTGCGGTGAAGGCTGGCCTCCCTGCTAGCCACCCAGGCAAGGCCCAGCCAGGGGTGGGCCTTAGTTGGGTCATGTGTTTCCAGGGCCTGAGCCTGGACTGCAGGCCTGGGAACTAGGATCTGGTATTTCCTCACGGGCTTCCATGAGCCGTCCCTCGGCTGAGCTCTAGGATTGACTGAGCCCTGGAGACTCCAGCAAGGCACACCTACCAGGGATGGAGAGTCTGAGGGCTCCAGTGACCTGGAAGCAGGAGGGTGGTTGCTGGGTGGCTTCAGGGGGAGCACTCATAGTACAGCCCTCACCACCATGAATTCCGTCTGCCTCTTTCAAGCAGAGCAGAGCAGCTTCTCCCGGGGGCAGGGTCCGAATTTTGCCTCTGACCTCCTGCCTCTCCACACTTTTGTTGACGTTCTTCAAAACGAAATTTACTGAACACTCTCAGGCCCTGTGTTTGGGGTATTCACGTCCTCTTGTTTAATCCCCGTAACCAGTCTGCACGGCGGGTACCATGATCCCTGCCTTCAGAGGAGGAAACGGAGGCTCCCTCGGTTACCCAGGGAATGTTAGATCCGGCAGGAGACAAGGCCAGGAGTCTTTGGCAACTGTTCCTTTATGATGAAAAACAGCTGAATAAAGACTTCTTCTGGCTGTGAATGAGTAGCTTGCATTAGACCAAACCTCCCACCAAGAACAACCATCAAAGACATAAAATTAAAAAACAAAAACAAAAAACAGAGGGCCAGCGCTGGTGGCCTAGTGGTTAAGTTCGGCACGCTCCTCTTCGGCGGCCTGGGTTCAGTTCCTGGGCGCGGACCTACACCACTCATCAGCCATGCTGTGGCAGTGACCCACATACACAATAGAGGAAGATTGGCACAGATGTTAGCTCGGGGCGAATCTTCCTCAGCAACAAAGAAAAAAAAGAAAAACAGCTCTGTGAAGGTATCAGAGAGACCAAAACAGCTAGGATTTGAGGGCCAGGATCCTGGAGAGAAGCGAGATTCCCTGAGCTGAGCCCCCCATCCTCAAACACTCCCCTCCATGCCTGGAACCCTCTGTCATTCAGGTATGTATTTCTTTCCTTCGTGGCCCATACGCTGGGGCCAGACAGCTGGCATTCAAATCCCAGCTCCACAACTTTCTGTGTATCTGTGTGACTTTGGGCGAGTTGCTGTTCCGTGCCTCAGTTTCCTCATCTGTAAAATACAAATACAGTCGATCCTCATGATTCGTGGGTCCTGTGCTTGTGATTTCGCCTACTCACTGAAATTTATTTGTAACTCCAAAATGGATACTCAGGGCGCTTTCGTGCTCATTCTCGGACCCGCACAGAGCTGCAAAAAATTGGAATCACCCCACGCTCGTATGTTCACAGCTGAGGTCAAGCAAGGTGACGCTCTGCCTTTTTGTTTCAGCTCTCTATTGTCATATGAAAACAAGTGTCCTTTTCACAGGCTAGTTAGTGGCATGTTTTTCACATTTCTGTGTTTTTTGTTAGTGATTTATTGTTTAAAATGACTCCCAACCGTGGTGCTGAAGTGCTGTCTGGTGTTCCTGAGCACAGGAAGGCTGTGAGGTGCCTTACGGAGAAAACACTTGGGTTAGAGAAGCTTCGTTCAGACACGAGTTACAGCGCTGTTGGCCCTGAGTTCAGTGTTAGTGAATCAACAATATGTATTAAACAAGGTGTCTTTAAACAGAAACACACGTAGAACAAGGTTATGCCTTGATCGATTGGTGACAACATGGCTAAAGGCTCACAGGAACCTCATGCCGTATCTCCCTCAGGAGTAATTCGCTAATCGAGTGTTTGTGGCAACTTTATAGAACATAATTGTCATGAATAACGACTATAATAATGTATGTCCCTCACAGGATTGTAATGAGGACTAAATGAATCCATTTCTAGAAAGACTGAGAACAATACGCAGCAGTGAGCATTCTAGAATGTGCTGTAACCATAAACCACCTGGGCTCTCTCACTTCTCCTTCAGCGCCAGCCTGTTTTAAACACACCATCCACACTCTGCACCCCCATTTCCTCCTTCTCTGCTCTCCTCTCAGCCCCGTGCCCTCTGCCTTCTCCTTCCTGAGCTTGTCAGGGGCACTGGTGGCTCAAGAGCAACCAGAGTGACCTTTGGAGAGTGTAAATCTTACCACCAACCTCTTAAAGCCCTTTGGAGCTTCCCGGGATGAAGTCCAGCTGAGTGCCTTCACAAGGCCCTGTGGCTGCCTGCCTCTCTCCATCACCTCCCTTGCCCTCTCCACTCTGGCTGGACCACTTTTCTCTCCCTTTACATGCTCCGTTCTCTCCCACGCTGGGGTAGGCCCCTATTCAAGGGGCCCCCCTCTCACTGTCCCCCAGTTATTTCATCCTTCTCTCCAGCTGGCCAGTAGGGCTGGTGGTAATCAACCCAGACTCCATCTCCTCAGAGCCCGGCGTCTGGACCCTCAGCAGTTATGTGTTGAAAGGAATCACCAGGTCACATTGTCTCCTGCAGATGGTGTTGATCAGACGTCAGACAGCAGCCTGCAGCCAGAGCCTCTCTCCTGGACGTCAGCAGACTTCTGCCTCTTGCTGTCTGTCGTTGCTTGTTTCAGTCCAATTCTAGGAGCATCACTGATGCCTCCCCGGCCAGCCTGTGCATCACATAACCCGAAGAGCCTGGAGCAGCACTGCCTGTAGAACTTCCTGTGGTGACAGACTTGTTCTCTGTCTGTGCCACTAGCCACGCGAGGCCACAGGACTCTTGAAACATGCCTGGTGTGACTGAGGAACTGACTTCTTCAATTTTATTTCAATAAATTTCAGTTTAAATAGCTGCTTGTGGCTCGTGGCTGCTATACTGGCTTAGAGACAGACCGGGAGAACTCAGTGTAATACATTCAAAGAAGGGGAAACAAATTGGGGCCAGCCCTGTGGTGTGGTGGTTAAGTTCAGGATGCTCCACTTCGGCAGCCCTGGTTTATGGGTTTGGATCCCAGGCACAGACCTACACCACTCATCAGCCTTGCTGTGGCAGCATCCCACATACGAAATAGAGGAGGATTGGCACAGATGTTAGCTCAGGGCGAATCTTCCCCAGCAAAAAAAGAAAAGAAGCTGAAAAAAATTCCTAAGAAATACTCCTGAAAAACTTGAACATTGTTGCTCTCGAATGTAGAAGTGGTGATATTTAAACCATGCATTAATGGACTGTAGTATGCTGAAAAGGGTAATGTTCTTAACTTTGACTTTTTAGAGTTCGAGCCTCCACTGCCTCAACCAGCTTCTGAATGTCAAAAAGCAGACTGTCTGTCTGATGAATTTGAGGACAACGGGAACTTTAGGCAACCTGGGGTAAGATAAAACACCTTCCACCTCAGAGATCTCTTCCTCCACCTGCCTCCCTTCCTCTCCCTCTCTCTCTCAATATACAACATATGCACACACTCATACTTCTATTATCTTTTTTTATTTTTCCTTTTAAGTTTTTTTACCAAAAAAAAAAATCCATCCCATACAAAACCTGTTTGCTCCCTTAGCAGCAGCATTCATAAGCATCTTTGCACATCACTAACTCTCCACCACATGGTTCTTAATGAAATAGTATTAAATTTTATGGATGTACCATAATTCCATTAACCCATCCCCTATTGTTGGACATTTAGGTTGTTTCCAGAGTTTCATTATTATTCTCTTTCATGTCTTAGTAGTTAGGGTAAGCCAAGTTTCTGTAACAAATAGACCCAAAACTGTGATGGCTCAAACCAGGGGTGGTTTTTGTCCCCCTCTCTGGACAGTCTAGGGTGGTTCTGCCTCTGTGACAGGGAGTCAGGCTCCCTCCACCTTCCTGTCACCTGTCAGTACCTTACTGCCCTCTGCATGGTCGAGGCTGGTCACCCTGTCCAGGTTCCATGCCGTAGAGAGGGACAAGAGCACGGAAGGCCTGGAAGTGGCACTTGTCCCTCACTCACATTTTCGTGGGAAGGACTTGGTCACAAGGCCCAGCTAACTGCAGGGAGGCTGGGAAATGTAGCCTAGGGGGTGCCCTGGAAGAAGGAGGCGGGGGGTTCTGGTGGAAAGCTGCCAGGCACTGCCACAGTCTCCCCCTGTGCCGCACACACACACCTTGACGCCCAGCCCCAAGGCCACAACCACAGGCCCACATGGTTACTCATGCACCTCAACGGCCAAGGTTTCCAGGTGACACGCAGTCCTCCCTCTCACGTCTAGGAGTGGCTTCTCTGACCTGCACACACACACACACGCACACACACACACAGGTCTAGGAGTGGCTTCTCTGACCTGCACACACACACACACACACACACACATACACACAGTGATGGACAGGGGCAAGATAACTACCACAACAACTCTCCTTCAGAAAAGAGATGCAATGGAGGCCTCCTGGGCAGCACTGAGACAACCTCTGCCCTGGCAGAGGGCGACATTCCTCCATGACACCCTGGTCAGGCTCCTCCTTGTCCGTTCCTCCCCTTGGCCGCGGGGCGGCAGGCGGTAGGAAGCGTGCCCTCCTAGGGGCTGGGCAGCCTTTCCAGCCCCCTTCCTGCTGATAACAGTTTGGGTTCCAAAGGCTATCTTAAGGCTCCAGTAGGCTCTTGTAGGCCAGACTCATTTTTCTTGATAACAGGATTTCCTCAAAAACCTAGTAGGCTTCTGATCTCTCTACTCCCCGTCAGCTCCACTGCCAGGAACCACCTCCACGTTTCTTCCCCAGATGGGAGCCTCAGGCTGCCTTATCTTTTGCATCCTAGTCCCGGTGCCCAGCTGTCTCAACCTAAGGTTACGTTGCTTGACGTCGTGTGAAACAATAATTTTGGAGACCAGCAACACCCTCAAGGTGATTTTCACAACAGGATCAGATCCTCTTTTTTGGCTTAATGAGAGGCCTTCGTTGTCCAAAGCCTTAGATTCTCCCCTTGGCTTTTCCATGTCTGTACAGCCTTTAATCCCCAAATGCTCCGTTTCATTCCATCGAACTGCAGGCGTGCCAGTTCTCTCCTGGCTCACCGTTCTCGTGTCGCATCTGCTGACAGCAGCGAGGAGCCGCCCAGATGCAGGAACATTCTAACTGTCCCCAAAACTAAAGGCTCAGTCAGCACACTGTCAGCATTCCAGGTTGTCACAGGCAGCAGGTTGACAGAGGGCCTGGCGAGCTCCCAGCCTGCAGTGTCTGTGCCGTGGGCCCCTCCACATAGTCTCTGAGCCAGTGCTGTGTCTGCATATGTTGGGTTTGGCTTTGGTGGCACCATGTCCAGCTCCTCCCCACACTGCCACTGTCCCCTCGCCCCTGCAGGCAGTCCTCTGAGGTTGGATGGGGCCCTTGCAGGATGCCCCAAGTCCAGCTCCCTTCTTTCGGGTCTACTTCTGGCCTCTGGGGACACACCTTTGTCCTGCACGCATAGAAGGACAGCCCACTTCTGCCCTGGCTCAGCTGGCTACTGTCAGGGAGCACCTGCCAAACTCGTGACTTGGGACTTTTTACCTGGGTCAGGTGTGTCTTTATGTTCCCCACACTCCTCAACATACATGTCAACCTCCTCTCCAGGTTCTCTCCAGCATCCCCTCCCTCAGCTGTGACTGAGGAGAGAGGGAGGGAAACGTCCAGCACACCCTACCAGGCCCACCACTCTCTTTAAAGACCAGCCCCTGGGCCGGCTCCGTGGCTTGGCGGTTAAGTGTGCGCGCTCTGGTGCTGGCGGCCCGGGTTCGGATCCCGGGAGCGCCCCGAGGCGCCGCTTCTCCATCCAACGCGAGGCCGAGTCCCACATACAGCAACTAGAAGGATGTGAACCTATGACATACAACTATCTACTGGGGCTTTGGGGGGAAAAAAAATAAAAAATCAAAAATCTAAAAAAAAAAAAAAAAAAAAAAAAAAAAAAAAGACCAGCCCCTCACCTTCCCCACATTGTACCTGGAGGCGGGTGATGGGCTGGAGGGGGTAGTCACATGGCAAATCTTCCATTAATTGTCTAGCAGCCACTGGTGTTTTACTTCAGGCCTGTTAGAAGCTCTCAGATGATGGAATTGTCTGGTATATATCTTGTAACCTACAGATACATCCTCACAGGGCATAAAAGCTCATACAAGGATGTTTATCATAGCAATATTTTTATTATAATTCATATACCATAAAATTCACCATTTAAAAATATACCATTCAGTGGTTTTTATACTCACAAGATTGTGCAACTTTCACCAGTATCTAATTCCAGAACATTTTCATCACTCCAGAAAGAAACCCCATGGGCATTAGCAATCTCTTCCCAGTCCTCCCTTCCCTGCACCCAGTGGCAACCACTAATCTACTTTCAGTCTCTATGGATTTTAGCAATTTTTAAAAACTGAAAAAATAGTATGCATACAGGAATGTCTCCAAGTCATAAATACACAGCTTTTTGATAAATTTTCAAAAACTGAACCACGTAACTCAAGAAATAGAATGTTACAGCCCCCAAAAGCAAACCTCCTGCTCATTGCTGGTTATTAACCCCTCCCTGCCCCAGAGTAACTGCCAGTCTGAGTTCCAGTAGCATGGATTAGTTTTGCCTGTTTTTTTGCTTTATATAAACTGTATCATTAAATGTAAATATGTGTGTGTGTGGCTTCTTTCAATCACCATGATGTTTGTGAGGTTCGTCCATATTGTTATATTTATAAGTAGTTCTGTTTTGCTGTATAGTAATCCACTGTATGAATATACCACAATTTATTTAGCTATTGTATTACCTGTGGGCACTTGGGCAGTTTCTAGTTGGGGGCTATGGGGTACTCTGCTATGAACATTCTAGTATGGTGCATGTCTTTTGGAGGACCTGGGTATGCATTTCTGTTAGGTATATACCCAGAGTGCAACAGATGGCATATGAATGTTTTCAACTCTAGTAGATACTGCCACCCAGTTTTGCTAGGTGATTATCCCATTTCCTGCCCATCAGCAGAATCTGAAAGCTCTGGTTGCTTCACTTCTGGCAAACTCTTGATATTATCTGTCTCTTTCATTTTAACCATTCTGGTAGTGTCTTACTGTGATTTTTTAATTTGTATTTTCCTGAAGATTAACAAAGCTGTGCACCTTTTCATATGTTCATTGGCCACTTGGATATCTTTTTTTTTCTTTAATGAAATCTGTTCAAGTATTTTACCCGTTTTTCTATTTGGTTTTCTTTTTCTTATTGGTTTGTAGGACTTCTTTAAATATTCTGGAAATGTCCTTTTTCAGATATATGTAATGCAAATATTTTCTCCCACTTTGTAGTTTGCCCAACATAAATTTTAATCACAAAAGTGTGGGAGATCAAAATTGGCCACCCTGCAATATGTCTCTTTACCTCAATTATTTTCTCTGACGGACATTTGACCTCCCCCGCTACCTGCCTAAAGGAATTGAACTCTGGGTACGGACAGACTGGCAGGGTCCTCGCTAAGCCCATTCTTATCAAATTTCTGTTTACCAAACATTTACATTTGTCAAGGTATCTCCTGTGTACTGGGAAGAGTGGGGGATGATCTTATCTCTGGAAACTCTTATCAGGACGGAAGGAGAGGACTTAAATCTACATACCCCTGATTGCTGTGCTTTCCATTAATCCCCCATAGCTGTCTCCTCCCCCACCCCCAACATCCTCCTTTGTCTACTTGAATATGCTATTTAAGGTAAAAACCTTCGCCATTTGTTGAGAAACTGAGTTTCCCTGGTTTCTCCTGTGTATACATATTATTAAACTTGGTATTATTTTCTCCTGCTAACCTGTCTTTTAATTATTTGGCCAGCCATAAGAACCTTGAGGGAAAGGGCAGAGGGGGATTCTCCCTCTTCCCCAACAAAAGCAATGGAAACAACCTCAATGTCCAGCTGGAGGAGACAGGTTTAATAAATAACATAAAATACTGTGAAAATTCATATGTGCTAATATAGAACAATTTCCAAGACACATTAAATGAAAACTAAGGTGCTTCATTTGTAAATTAAAAAGAATGTAACAGGGCCTGCCTCGTGGCTTAGCGGTTAAGTGCACGCGCTTCGCTGCTGGCCGCCCGGGTTTGGATCCCGGGCGCATACCAACGCACCGCTTCTCCGGCCACGCTGAGGCCAGTCCCACATACAGCAACTAGAAGGATGTGCAGCTATGACATACAACTATCTACTGGGGCTTTGGGGGAAATAAATAAATAAATAAAATTATAAAAAAAAAAAAGAATATAACATTCTGGAAGGATACAGAAGAGACTGTTGATCATAGTTGACTCTCGGGATGGGGGCAGCCTGTTGGGAAAGAAAGCCTAACTTCTCTATAAACCCTTTCATGCTGTTTGAATTTTGCTCTGTACATGTTTGCCATTTTCCATTAATTTTTAAAATTTAAATGCATATGTTGATTTGATGTTAATAAAATGGAGCGGTTTGGTAATGGTGTTTTTGGGTTGTGTTTCCCCTGCAGCTGTCTAGACGAGACCACCTATGAAAGACTGGCCGAGGAGACACTGGACTCCTTAGCAGAGTTTTTTGAAGACCTCGCAGACAAACCTTACACATTTGAAGACTATGATGTCTCCTTTGGGGTACTTCTTCGCTTATTTTCATTTTTCTGCTTCCCCCCTAAGGATTTGGGCTCACTAAGGTAAAGAATTCCCCTCCCGTAGAGCTAAGCATCCAGCAGCGTGCGGCATGGATGCTAAAGAACAGACCTAAAGAACAGAGTTCACGGTCCAGCCCGGCTCCACCAGGCTTGTGACCGTGGGCAAGTCACTCAGCCTCTGTGAGCCTCATTTTTCCTTAAAAATACAGACTCGCAAGCTTCACTCAATACCCATGATGGTAAATCTGGGAGGGACCCGGGCATGGGTTTGTCTAGCAGGACACCTCTCATCACACAGGCCTGGGGACACTGACGTAGACCGCTGGTTCCTAAGCAGGGTAAGATATCGCCCAGGAGGTGTTCAGACCACAAAGACATGGCCCCAGTCCTGGGAGATTCCGATGTGGAAGGTCAGGGTGGCTTCCCAGGAAGCATATCTTTGAAAAGCTCACCCGGGATTCTAATGTGCACCCTAGGCCCCACCCCGAGAGATTTTGATTTAATTGGTTTGGGGTGTGGCCCAGGCAGGGCACTGGGGTTTTTAAAGTTTTTAAAATCACTCCCCAGGTGATTCTAATATGCAGCTGGGGTGACAACCTCTGGGCTGGATGCAGCTTGAGCCCCTGGAAGCCAAGGGAGTGCTGCTCTTTGTCGACTGGCCACCAGGTGGCGGATGTGAGCAAGGGTCCGCCTGTGGATTAGAATTGTGTATTGCCCAGGCCTTAGGGAGCAGCTCGTTTTGGCCAGTGGGAGAAAATCCCCTGCAGAGGTTAATCCTCTCGACAGCAATTAATTAATACCAGGAAAAGTCATGAAATGTGCATTTTGGATTAAATCATGGCATTATTGAGGACAACCAGCTGTCAGGCCAACGTGATAGAAGTGGTGTTGGATATTGTGGGAGCGCTAGATCGAGAAGGGACTCCACCAGATGGAGCAGGGGCAGCGTCTTGGAGCAGGTGTCAAGCCCCATTGTCAGGACAGTGAGGGACTTGGTGGTAAAAACAGAGGCAACAGGGCGAAAAGGGTTGAGTGCCTTCCGGGTGGACTCAGTGATTGCTGTCAGCGGCAGGAAATGCAGCGGGGTCCAGGCAGGGCTGTAGAAGCGCTAAGCAGATGGCCTCACGAGGAGAGCTGCTTGGGGACTGTTACAGACTGGCCTCGCCAGCTTGACCATCAGGGGGACAGTTACAGCTAAGGAAGTCACAGGTCTCCTCTCCCCGAGCCTCCCTACCAATGGCTGTAACTGCTGTAGGGAAACCACTTCTCAAGCTAAGCTCTGCCACACATGCAAACATTTATTACCATGCCACAAAAACAGTCCCACCACTTGTTCTTATAGGGTTAGTGAAGCCCCAGCTTGACTCTAGGACTTTGCATGAATGTTTCATGGGAAGCAAATGTGCCAGTATTCTAGCAGCTGGATTCAGTCCACCTCGTTGAGTCAGGCAACAAAAGCTGTTCAGTGGTGGGTCACGGACCTTACCCAAATCCGACCCCTAGAGTGTCTCTCTGAAGAGGGATCCAGCTGCGGGGCTTTCCAGACTCTGTGAGCCCTTCCTGCAAGGGAAGAGGCCCCTGTGTTTTTCTAGCTAATTTTCTAGCTAAACCTTGAGGATCATTCTAGTCACCAGGGAAAAATTATTTCTAACAAATCATTTGCTAATTAGGAAATTCTCTAGTGTAGATGTAGAAACTAAAGGCATATAGTAGCTGACTCTGTAGAGTGGACTTCTGATTAAGTACTATGAAATGCTAACTATCCAGTATCTGGGGTGTGAGTTCCTGATTAGAGTCCTTCAGGTGCTAAGTAACATATATTTCACAGTAAGGTAAATCAACTGGAAGCACATTACGACAATAGAACACCTGTAACACTATTACTTGAGCTTTGTTAGAGTGCAATCTTTCCCTGCCCTCAGGGTCCAGTTGGATGTTGCCTCCTCTGTGAAGCCCTCCTAGATCCTTTAGGCAGACATCACCCTTCCTTCCTTGCCCAGCACTCTGAGGATAACTCTGGAGCACTGGTCACCCAGTGTTGTAACTGTCTGTTTACACGTCACTCCCATGGCTGGACTGAGCTCCTCGGCAGCCGGGACACTGTCCACTTTTGGTATCTCAGTGCCTGGAATATTGTCAAGTACATAGTAGGGACTTAATAAGTGTTGATTCACTACGTAAATGAAATAGGCCCACCTACTTTTCCAAAACACGCTTTCACTGACGCCACCTAGCATCACAGGCGTTTACCAGCTTGCCACTGGCCAAGTAGACAAATGAAAGCAGTGCTCCAGATGCACCCCAGACCTCATTTGTTCTGTTTTCTCCCTGTGGAGTGGGAGATGTGAGCAGCTTCTTGGCTGTCGTGTCATCCGGTCAAGTGGGGTGGGTCATGTGGGATGTCAGTGTCTGGGTCCAGGCCTCGCTCACCCTTAGTGGCACTGAGCATTAGAGGGGACTGCCCGCCAGAGCAGAAAGCACCTCCCATCACTAGGCAACCAGGGAGTCTGCCGCACTTGACCCAGCAAAATCTGACCAGAGACTGAGAAGCACCTGCTGTTTGAACAGTTACCTCCAAGCCACCTTCCTTTTCTCCCAGGGGGAGCCCTGGCCTCTTAGATGTTTTAATGAAAATTTCGTTGTTGCTGTGTTCGTTATTCACTAAGTTGTCGGCATATGACTGCCGTAGAGCAGAGGTTTCCTAACCTTTTGTGGGTTAGGACCCCATGTAAGAATCTGAGTGCTCTGGACCCTCTCCCGAGAAAACCTTCCCACACACCTGTGAGTACGGTTTCAGCGTCAAGGCGGGGGCTGTTTGCAGACCCCTGAGGACCACCTCCAGGTCCCAGGTGATGGACACTTGCTCAGAGGCTGCACTTTCTTGGATATGGAGACAAAGGATCTGGGTTAGCATCCTGGATTTGTGTATTCTTTCCAAGAGCCCTTAGGTGAATTATCAAACTTCTGTGAGCGGCAGGGTCTTCAGCTGTGAAGTGGGTGACATTCCTCTACTTCTCCAGGTTTATATTAGGATTAAATTTTTTTTTAAAAAGTGCTTCACATTCATTATTCTTATTCCTTAAGGAGAAGTCAGTGTCTATATTTTTTTGATGTCATAATAGTTTATAACATTGTAAAATTTTAGTTGTACATTATTGTTTGTCAGTCACCATATAAATGCATCCCTGTACCCCTTGTGCCCACTCCCAACCCCCTTCCCCCTGGTAACCACCAAACTGTTCTGTCTGTGTGTTAGTTTATCTTCCACATATGAGTGAAATCATGCAGTGTTTGTCTTTCTCTGTGTGGCTTATTTTGCTTAACATAATACCCTCCAGGTCCATCCTTGTTGTTGCAAATGGGATGATTTTATCTTTTTTTACAGCTGAGTAGTATTAAACATTATATATATACCACATCTATATCCAATATACAAAAGCCTAGCTAAGGGTTTATCTAATCTTCAGTCGAGGGACACTAGGGTTGCTTCTGCTTCTGGGCTATAGTGAATAATGCTGCAGTGAACATAGGGGTGCATAAGCCTCTTTGGATTGTTGATTTCATGTTCTTTGGATACATACCCAGTAGTGGTATAACTGGGTCATAAGGTATTTCTATTTTTAATTTTTTGAGGAATCTCCATACTGTTTTCCATAGAGGCTTCACCAGTTTGCATTCCCACCAGCAGTGAATGAGGGTTCGCTTTTCTCTACATCCTCTCCAACATTTGTTATTTTTTGTCTTGGTGATTATAACCACTCTAACGGGTGTAGGGTGATATCTCAGTGTAGTTTTGATTTGCATTTCCCTGATGATTAGTGATGTTGAACATCTTTTCATGTGCCTATTGGCCATCTGTATATCTTCCATGGAAAAATGTCTGTTCATATACTCTGCCCATTTTTTGATCAGGTTGTTTATTTTTTTGTTGTTCACTTGTGTAAGTACTTTATATATTATGGAGATTAACTCCTCGTCGGATATGTGATTTGCAAATACTTTCTCCCAGCTGATGGGTTGTCTTTTCATTTTGATCCTGGTTTCATTTGCCTTGCAGAAGCTCTTTAGTCTGATGAAGTCTCACTTGTTTATTTTTTCTTATGTTTCCGTTGTCCACATAGACATGGAATTCGAAAAGATCCCTCTGTGACTGATGTCCAAGAGTGTATCGCCTATATTTTCTTCTATGAGTTTTATAGTTTCAGGTCTCGTCTTCAAGTCTTGGATCCATTTTGAGTTAATTTTTGTGAATGGCGATAGCAGATGGTCCACTTTCATTCTTTTGCATGTGGCTGTCCAGTTTTCCCAGCACCGTTTATTGAAGAGACTTTCCTTTCTCCATTGTATGTTCTTAGCTCCTTTGTCAAAAATTAGCTGTCCGTAGATGTGAGGTTTTACTTTCTGGGCTTTCAGTTCTGTTCCATTGATCTGTGTGTCTGTTTCTGTACCAGCACCATGCTGTTTTAATTATTATAGCTTTGTAGTATGTTTTGAAGTCAGAGATTGTGATGCCTCCAGCTTTGTTCTTTATTCTCAGGATTGCTTTAGCTATTCAGGGTCTTTTGTTGCCACATATGAATTTTAGCATTCTTTGTTCTATTTCAGTGGAGAATGTCATTGGGATTCTGATTGGGATTGCATTGAATCTGTAGATTGCTTTAGGTAGTATGGACATTTAAACTATATTTATTCTTCCAATCCATGTGCGTGGGATGTCTTTCCATTTCTTTATGTCATCTTCGATTTCTTTCAGTAATGTCTTATAGTTTTCATTGTATAGGTCTTTCACCTCCTTGATTAAATTTATTCCTAGATATTTTATTCTTTTTGTTGTGATTATAAATGGAATTGTCTTCTTGAGTTCTCTTTCTGTTGGTTCATTATCAGAGTATAGAAATGCAACTGATTTCTGTAAGTTGATTTTGTACCCTGCAACTTTGCTGTAGTTGTTGATTGTTTCTAATAGTTTTCCAATGGATTCTTTAGGGTTTTCTATATATAAAATCATGTCATCTGCAAACAGCGAGAGTTTCACTTCTTCGTTGCCTATTTGAATTCCTTTTATTCCTTTCTCTTGCCTAATTGCTCTGGCCAGAACGTCCAGTACTATGTTGAATAAGAGTGGTGAGAGTGGGCACCCTTGTCTTGTTCCTGTTCTCAGAGGGATGGCTTTCAGTTTTTCCCCGTTGAGTATGATGTTGGCTGTGGGTTTGTCATATATGGCCTTTATCATGTTGAGATACTTTCCTTCTATACCCATTTTGTTGAGAGTTTTTAATCATAAATGGATGTTGAATCTTATCAAATGCTTTCTCTGCATCTATTGAGATGATCATGTGGTTTTTATTCCTCGTTCTGTTAATGTGGTATATCACATTGATTTGTGGATGTTGAACCATCCCTGTGTCCCTGGTGTGAATCCCATTTGATCATGGTGTATGATCTTTTTAATGTATTGCTGTATTCGGTTTGCCAATATTTTGTTGAGGATTTTTGCATCTATGTTCATGAGTGATATTGGCCTGTTATTTTCCTTCTTTGTATTGTCCTTGTCTGGCTTTGGTATCAGAGTGATGTTGGCCTCATAGAATGTGTTAGGAAGTGTTCCATCTTCCTCTATTTTTTGGAATAGTTTGAGAAGGATAGATATTAAGTCTTCTTTGAACGTTTGGTAAAATTCTCAGAGAAGCCATCTGGTCCTGGACTTTTATTTTTGGGGAGGTTTTTAATTACTGTTTTAATCTCTTTACTTGTGATCAGTCTATTCAGATTCTCTATTTCTTCTTGATTCAGTTTTGGGAGGTTGTATGAGTCTAAGAATTTATCCATTTCTCCTAGATGTCCGATTTGTTGGCACATAGTTTTTCATAGTATTCTCTTATAATCCCTTGTATTTCTGTGGTATCTGTGTAATTCCCCTCTTTCATTTCTAATTTTATTTATTTGAGCCTTCTCTCTTTTTTTCTTAGTGAGTCTGGCTAATGGTTTGTCAATTTTGTTTATCTTCTCAAAGAACCAACTCTTTGTTTCACTGATCTACTTTTTTCACTTTCTACTGTTTTTTTGGTTTCAATTTCATTTATTTCTGCTCTAATTTTTATTATTTCCCTCCTTCTGCTGACTTTGGGCTTCGTTTGTTATTCTTTTTCTAATTCTGTGAGTGTCTATTTTTGGAGCATAGGAAGCCACATGTACCTGAAATCCCGGACTCCCCATGCCCTTCCGTATGTGTCTACTTCTACAGATGAGCTGGTGACAACAGACACTGCTCTTTTGGCTTGCATGTGTGCAGGGCTGATACTGACGGGTGGGAGTAAGGAGCCTCACCACCTGTGGCAGGTCCATTCTGCCTGGTTAGTGCCCCTTCTCAGCAGCTACTGAATACTTGGACTCTCTCTCTCTCCACTTCCCCTACCCTCTCCTGCACTTGAGTCTGCCTAGACTCCCAGAACAGTCTCAGCTTGCCCCTTGAGGAACAATGCTGATGAACCAAAAGCCTCTTCATCTGGTCCACCTGCGTTAGGAGCTCCTGGTGAACCAGGAAGGCAGCTAGATTCCTTTCTCCTCTTGCCATTTGCCTTTGGAAACAGCTTCTGGCTCCAGGGGAAAAAAATCTCGTTACGCACCATGAACAGGAGGGGGTGTGATTGAGCACTGAGACTTCTGCCTGGCGTAACCTGGCCCTTAACTTTGACACCTGTTAGCACAGTGCCTGCTCGTCATCCAGTCCGTTCCTTTATCCACGAATGTATTTTTGTATCCGCCCAGTGTTTTGCACGAAGAATGGATGTGCTACACACTGAAGATGCTAGGATGAGAAGATGAATCTGCCCTCAAGGTGCTTAAAGTAGTGGAGGGAAGGGGCCGGGGACCAGCACACAAGCCAGCAGCTCAGACGCAGTGAGGAAGGCACAGAGAGGCTGTGGGGCACGCACAGGCCCTGGTCCCAGCTGAGGGGCATCAGGGTAACCTTCCCAGAGGCACCGCAGCCGGGACCGGCTGTCAGAGAAGTTGCTGGTCTTGTGCGGGGAGCGGGTGGACTGCAGGGAAGGTGCCAGGTGGAGGAAACAGCTTGAGACCTGCGCATCTAGAAGGATTCTCACGCTTGTTTTACTAATATGCTCTTTGTGGGCGAATGGCCTGTTCCCTGGAGTCAGTCAGAAGACTTTTTGGGTTGGAAAGAGGTGATTTTGGCTTTCAGGGATTGTATCGCTGTCCCCTGCTTTAGTGTCCTGGTCTAAAGTGTGATGGTGATCAGGAGCCGGTGCGGTTCCTGTGAGCACCCGTCACCCCTCCATCCTTACATTGAAGGAGGCGGGACAGATGTTGTCCTGAGGAAACAGACGTGATTGATGAGACTTAGAACCCGCATCCCCAGACCCCACCCCCTGCCCTTCCTGCTGCACCAGGCACCTCTCAGTGTAGGTGCAATGCACATGGGGCGGGTAAGGGCACAAATAGGTCAGATCATAAACAATTACGTCTTGATCTCCTGAGCCTGATATCTTGTGGAAAAATAAGCCATGAAAGAATATGTGTGGGGGGAGGAAGGAATGAGGAGTGACTGCTAATGGGTGTGGGGTTTCTTTTTGGGGTGATAGAAACAGTCTGGATAAGATAGTGACGATGTTTGCACACTTTGTGAAATACTAAAAACTACTGAGTTGTACAGTTTTAAGAAATTTTTACATAAATGAAATGTAGTCCTACCAAAATAGTAAAGGTGGGTTTCAGGAGAAATTTTTTTTTTTTTTTTTTTTTTTTTCCCCCCAAAGCCCCAGTAGATAGTTGTATGTCGTAGTTGCACATCCTTCTAGTTGCTGTATGTGGGACGCAGCCTCAGCATGGCCAGAGAAGCGGTGCCTCGGTGCGCGCCTGAGATCCAAACCCCGGGCCGCCAGCAGCGGAGCACGCGCACTTAACCGCTCAGCCACGGGGCGGCCCAGGAGGAGAAATTTTTTGAAAAAACAAACTTATGTGCACTGTGATCCTAGCCCTTTTAAGAAATGCACTTAAGGGGCCGGCCCTGTGGCCTAGTGGTTAAAGTTCTGCGTGCTCTGCTTCAGCGGCCCAGGTTTGGATCCGGGTGCGAACCTACACTGCTTGTCAGCCGTGCTGTGGTGGCGACCCACATACAAAATAAAGGAAGACTGGCACGGATGTTAGCTCAGGGAGAATCTTCCTCAGCAAAAAGAAAAAAAAGAGAAAGAAATGCACTAAAAAGCTGGCGTTAAGAAATGCACTCACATCTCCTGAGAGTGAACACTGAGAGTGAGCAGGTCGTATTGCTGTTTAATGGGATTGAGAATTGCTTTGTGTTATGGAAAGAACAGCGTCTTTTGGACCCAAACAGACTTGGATTTAAGATCAGCCCTGCCAGTTACTAAGTGCTCTTTATTACTCTGTCCATCTCTGGTCCTCATCTGTAAAATTGGGATGATGATTCCCACTTCCAGTGGTTATGGTCATGGTGGAAACAGTGTTATGCAGAGTTCCAAACACAGTGCCTGGCACAGAGTAGGTACTGAATCATAGCAGCTGATGTTTTTATTTATAAAATAATAATTCATTTTATTTATACTATTTATTCATTTTATTTATACTATCTGTATTCCCAACATCTCTATAATTTCTCTAAATTTCTTTTTTTTTTTTTGCAGGGGAAGATTCACCCTAAGCTAACATCTGTTCCCAATCTTCCTCTTTTTTCTTCCTTTTTCCCCCCCAAAGCCCCAGTACGTAGTTGTGTATGGTTGTAAATTCTTCTGATTCTTCTGTGTGAGCTGCCGCCACAGCATGGCTACTGACAGACAGGCAGTGTGGTTCTGCACCCGGGAACTGAACCCGGGGCACTGAAGAGGAGCGCATTGAACTTTAACCACTAGGCCATCAGGGCTGGCTCTCTCTGTTTCTTTTTTAATCAGAAAAAAATGTTGTTAGAAAAATAACTCAATAGTGTCCTCCCTATCCCATGCCTATCAGTTGTATTATTATTGGTACGTTCTCCACCTTTTCAATAGCTCTTTGTGTTTGCGAACCAAACACAGGTGTTCTAAGAGCCCTTCAGGACCCATGACTGGACAGGGGCTCTAGAAGGCACAGAGAAAGGTCGTGTATCTCTGCGGGTTGTGCACGGGATGGAGAAAAGTGGGAAGCCCCCCTGCTCACCAGCTCCAATAAAGGGAACTGAGCTGTGCAGCTGTTTCTTTCATATCCTGCACATTCTAAAGAGACCTCAGGCCTGGGGAGTAAAGGGCTCCTTTGCTGAGTTTTTCACATTGGAGTGAGCATCTAGTGGGCAAAGATGGACCAACCAGTCTTTTGAAGAATTCAAAGCTCCTGTAGAGGAAAATAAAGCTGGAGAGGAGTGTTTGGGAAGCTTGTGAGATGCGTGGTAAGGGTCTGGAAATAAGAACCCCAGTCTGGAGGGTCTGCCAGCTACCACAGAGCTGAGACTATTGCTCTTCTAAGACACGCAAAGCAAGTGGTTTATTACTTCCTTCTTTCTTGCCTTTTTCCTTTTTTTTGGTAATGAACTTGTCCTGTCCAGTAGAGTTGGTGTCTGCATTGTTTCACGTCCTCAAGGCTGTTCTGGCTGGTGGTTGAGGAACCGAGGCAGCAATCAGGATGTGGATCCTCCCATCTGCCGGCTGTAAAACCTCAGACAGGCCACTTAACACTCCAGCTTCTGTTTCCTCACCTCGAGAGGGAATGATGATAATTCTCGCCTTGCCGACCTCATAGGGAGTGAGGGAAACCACTCTCTGTGATTAATCGTAGTCTGATTCTGAGAGTAGTGTTCTTTCTGCATGATGATCTAATTCTAAACACTAAATTAAAGACGTTTCTTTATGGTGTATATTGTGTACTTGTATGTATGGAAAGTGTTGAGATATAACAAATTATGAAGCAATTATGACAAAGTGATAACATTGCCTTGTTTTATTTTCCTCGTGCTTTTTTCCACCTGATCCACTAGAGTGGTGTTTTAACAATTAAACTGGGCGGAGATCTGGGAACCTACGTGATCAACAAGCAGACCCCAAACAAGCAAATCTGGTTATCTTCTCCATCCAGGTATGTTCAGAAATCAGAATCTCTCATTATTAAACTTGTATGAAACATGACATTGGGGACCACATTTTTCGTGTGTTAGTATCTCTGTAAGTGAACCTTTCCTGATGTTTGACAGAGAGTCTCATTCTCAGTAGGGAGGTTTACTCTGGGTGTATAACTTCTGTGTGGTGCAATGGCTGCTGTAAGCAGATATTGGGATGGTAACCAGATCTGAAGTGAAAACTTTTCAGAACTGGCCAAGATGGTTTTTCTCTATTAAATCATTGCCCTACCTTTAAAAAAGCCACTTTTGATATTGCAGCTTCTGAGTAAGTTGCACTTTGTCTTCAAAGCAAGTTAAAGTTTGACCTCCAATTTATTTTGAGCATCTCAGCTAAAGGTTAGTTAAATTCCATTTGCAGAATTGGGCCGTGTGCTCTGTGGAGGTGGGAGAGCGATGAGGCTGCTCCTCCCAGGCATTTAATCCCTCCTGCCTTTTCCACTGATGTGCCTTCCATCTAGTGGAATAAAAGGTCGTGTTGCAGACCGTCTGCGCTCCAGGCCTGAGAACATGCTGGGAGAGAGGGTCCCTCATCTCTCTGGCTGCTGTTGAGTGGTAGTAAGAAAGTAGAAGAGAGACGCCCACAAAGAGTTCTCAGGCCAGCCTTCCTGGGTGACTCATTAGCCCTTCCAAAGAGGACATATTGAAAAATGTGACTTCGGAGAGGCCCATATATAACCAGTGTAGAATTCTTTGAAAGCCCAATGATATTTGCATTAAAGAAAAACAGTATTCTAACTTTTCCCCTGCCCCATTGTTGACATCATTCTTAGGTAGTTGATGTATAGTTATTTGTTCAAAATAAATAAAGCAGTATGCCCCCTTCACCCTACTCTCATCTAGGAAGTATGTTATAATTCAACAAAAACAACTCCAGAAATCAGTGTCATTTCTAGCCAGCCCCTCATTCACAGACTGTACTGTATGGCTTTTTAGACCCAGTTAATTTACTTGAAGTTGGGGCGTTTTACCCTGTGTGGGCCAATTAGCCTGTTCTCTTTGCCCTCAAACAGTCATCCTAACCCTAACCGTGGCCATTCATAAGGACCATACATTCATATCCTTCAAATCCAGAGGAACCAGTATGAAAAATTGAGTGGATCAACTCAAAACCAGCCATCAGCTTTGGGGATCGGTAGCTTTGTAAATACCGGACAGGGTACCAACTGGGGTGACTTCACTAAAAGAATTCTTTGTTGTGTCTGGAGACTGAAAGTCCATATTGTATTTGGACACATCTACCAGCAATATGTTCCTCCCCCAGGCACGTTTAGAAGGATATACTCTGGATGATAATAAATTCCTGGAAATTCCAAGTGGTACTTTTTTTTTTTAACTTGTAATTCATGATGAAAATCTGGAAGGAAAATCTGCCATACAGCCATTTACTGTCATGGATACTGTGTTCCTCAAAAAAAAAAAAATTTTATTTTCCACTCAATTTTTCATATTGGGCCAAAATAATCTTTCCTGGGGCTGCATTTCTGATATTTGGGGGTTTTTTAATGACAACTTTTCAGGTCCTGTGGAAACAGTGGCCTTTCGTGGCCACTTTGCCCACCCCGAGGAGGTTGTAGGATAGAATTAAGGAGAACTCCAGGTGGACACCTGGACCCCAGAGTCTATGCTTGGAGCCACTGGGGCCATATGGAGGGGCCTGGAGTTTTCTCAGGCTCTGCCTGGCATCCCAGCAGCAAAGCAGAGTACAGGGCCAAGGGAACATTCCCTGGATTTGGTCTGGTTTCTTAGGCCTTTACATGTTGGCTATTTGTACATATTAAATAAAGGCCTTAGTCCCTTTGGTTTGTCCTTTTTGTCTCCATTATTGGGAAAGCATTCAACCTTCAGCATTTGGTTGATAATATAGAAATCTTTGATTTTTTGTTGTTGTTGTTGTGGAAGATTGGCCCTGAGCTAACATCTGTGCCCATCTTCCCCTATTTTGTATGTGGGATGCCGCCTCAGTATGGCTTGATGAGCAGTGTAGGTCTGGCCTGGGATCCAAACCCAAGAATCCCTGGCCACCGAAGCAGAGCACATGAACTTAACCACTAAGCCACCGGGCCGGCCCCTCCTTGATGTTTTTATAGCCCCAAACAATGCTTCCTTTCTTTTTTTTTTTTTTCTGAGGAAGATTCACCCTGAGCTAACATCTATTGCTTATCTTCCTCTTTTTGCTTGAGGAGGATTCGCCTGAGCTAACATCTGTTGCCAGTCTTCCTCTATTTTGTATGTGGGTCGCCCCCACAGCATGGCCACCAATGAGTGGTGTAGGTCCCCGCCCAGGAACTGAACCCAGGCCGCAGAAGCGGAGCTCACCGAACTTAAACGCTAGGCCCCAGGGCCAACCCCAAGATGCTTCCTTTCTAAACTTTCCTCCTCCCTGGCAACCTCCTCTTAGTCTTGGACTTTGGAAAAGCTCTTCTGAGCTCAGGTAGACTCAGGTGCTCCCAGGTTACTCTGCTCCTACCTCCATCAGGTATCATCATGTACCATCATTGTCTGCTGGCGTGTCAGCTCCCCTCCTCTAGGCCAAGAGGAGGTGGAATTAGTGAGCACTAGTTGTGTACATCAGCAATAGCAGACGTGGCAAAAGCCCTGCTCCTGCATCCACACAAATACGGCATCCCCAGCGTGAAGTGCATATACTGCTACTGTTCACTGGTTGAGGTTGAGGTGGATGAACTAGCCTGTCAAATTCAATTTCATGGATTTAAAATTGAATTAAGAAAAACATTTTTAAAAGTAATAGTATAGGTGGTTGCCAGGGGCTGGGGAGAGGAGAGAATGGGGAGTAACTGCTTAATGGGTGTGGAGTTTCCTCTTGGGGTGATGACAGTGTTTGGGAACTAGATATGTTGTTAATGTACTAAAATAATAATAATACTGTAAGTAAGGCACAAATCATGTCAGTGGCACACGAATGGCCATAATTTAAAAAACACTGCTCTGACATAGCAGGTGTCATATGTATACGAATTAGGAAAAGCAAAAGATCAGAACGTGATACATGGTGACTCATCAGTAGGGTTCCGATGTTTTCAGGTCTTGAGAATCATTCTGTGAATTGTTCAGAGGATAAATTGTATAATTATTCTTAAGTAGAATAATTTCTATTTAAGAATAAGAAGATAAGAAACCAAACACATGCCTCGTTAAGTATTACTTTCAAGGGCTTCCCTCCAGTCCATTTCTTGCTGGCAGCATTGGCGGAATCAGTGGTTCTTACAAGGGGCTGTCTCTGTGGACTTATTGTGTATTTGTTTTGTCTCTCAGTGGACCCAAGCGTTACGACTGGACTGGAAAAAACTGGGTGTACTCTCACGACGGTGTATCCCTCCACGAGCTACTGACCACGGAGCTAACTAAGGCCTTAAAAACCAAAGTGGACTTATCTTCCCTGGCCTATTCTGGAAAAGGCACCTGATGCCCAGCCCAATTCTAAAGACATTAAAAGCTATGAAGCCAAGACTCCAGCTTCATTCTGCAGCTGAGTGTCTAGTGTTTTCCATTACTGCTTTTGAGGACAATTGCATTGTGCGTAACAGCTCTGCAGAAAGAATGCATTGCCTTCCACTCTACCCCCGAGTTCAGATTTTTAATTTCCGTGGAGTTTTTTTGGATTTATTGTCTGATTTCCTCCCTCACATGATATCCCTTATCTTTTATAATGTCTATATACCCATGTCTTTATAAATAACCTTACAACAAAGAAAAATAAGAAGGGAAAATTCTAGGAGGAGAAATGAATTGATTTCACTATCCATTCTTTGAAGGACTTACTGCAAAACCTACATGAAGAGCAGTTGGCTGACCTCACCATTCTGTCTCAAATGAGACTCATTAAAGGGCAGCCTATAAATGTTCCCCCACCTCTTGAGAATGTAAACACTTCTAAGCCCTTTAGTCTTGAAGTGCGGATGGCCACTCGGGAATTCTCCAACCGAAGACCATTCTATGCTTCGTGTCTGCCAGGGTGTAGCCTGCGAGGGGTGACTCAGGGACGTGTGATGCCGTTTCTTCCACATATGCATGTATGTGCACATACACACATTTACATGTATGTGTGTATGTATATATATGTTTTTTGGGTTTTTTTTAATTTAAGGGTCAGTATAGAATCGGCTGCTACAACACACATCTGAGAATGCAAAAAATCTCACCAAGATAATAGGGGAATAAAGCTGTCTCCATAAGCTCATGGATGTAATATAATAAAGTATTGGAGCCGAGGAAGTGCTTTGTAAATTGGGAAGGGCCACATAAATGAAAGAGCTGTTCATGTTGATGACAAGAACCCTGGTCCTACAATTGGCTCAGCAAGTCTCACAAATTCCCCAGACCTCCGTTTTCCTATGTGTTAAATGAGAGGGTTGACTGGAGAGAATGTCATTGCTTCCCAATTCAGACATTCGGTGGTCCCATCAAGCAACTTAACAGGCTAGCTTTAATTCCCTCTGGTAGATGAGGGAACGACAATGAACAATTTTTTTAAGCTATAGGGTAAATATATGGTTGTTGGTATTGCTCTACTTGAATTTCAGTTGAATTCATGTTCAAATAATAACCATCCTTGATTGTGCCCTTCCTGTGCTAAACCTGTGCTACAGACTGAATATTCATGTTCCCCCAAATTCCTATGTTGAATCCTAACCCCCAAAGTGATGGTATTAGGGGGTGGGGCCTTTGGGAGGTGATTAGGTCATGAGAGCAGAGCCCTCAAGAATGGGATTGGTGCCCTTATAAAAGAGGCCCCCAATAGCTCCCTTGCCCCTTCCTCCATGTGAGTACACAGTGAGAAGACTGCAGTCTGTGAACCAGGAAGCAGCCTTTACCAGACAAGGAATCTGCTGGGTCTTGATCTTGGACTTCCCAGCCTCCAGAACTGTGAGAAATAAATTTCTGTTGTTTATAAGCCACCCAGACTATGGTATTCTGTTACAGCAGCCCAAACAGACTACACTGTATGACCTCATTTTAACCTTCACAGACCTGCATTTTACACATGAGGAAACCAGGGCTCAGGAACATTAAAACTCATCCAAAGTTCTGCTCCTGTTCTATTACTTTCTTACTAAAGAAAGATTTATGGGCTGGCCCCGTGGCTTAGCGGTTAAGTGTGCACGCTCTGCTGCAGGCGGCCTGGGTTCAGATCCCAGGCGTGCACCGACGCACCACTTCTCCGGCCATGCTGAGGCCGCGTCCCACATACAGCAATTAGAAGGATGTACAGCTATGACATACAACTATCTACTGGGGCTTTGGGGGAAAAAATAAATAAATAAATAAAATTATTTAAAAAAAAAAAGATTTATTAGTGACAAGTCTATGCAAATGTCTAGCAAAGACTTTTGCAGAGGGTGAACAAAAACCACATTGCATTACAGAAAAAAACTCTTAACAATAGGACAATATAAACAAATGCTACATGGATATTTAAAATATTTCCTTTCTTCAGAAATAAAGTTATTTTTTTCATCTGGTGGAAATTTTTTTAAGTGAAGTAGGTCAGCAGTACCAATGAGAAAAATAAAAGTGTGTGTGTGTGTGTGTGTGTATCTCGCTTCTAATGAAAGTTTCATTGTACCTCACGTGGTTGGCACTCAGTGAAATGGCCCACTCACCTATCTGGGGCACAACAGCAAACTTAAGAGGTATTTAATCAGGCTGCGGGACATGGAAACGGAAGTTACGGAATCTATGCTCTTCATGCTTTCCTTGTGGGCCAGCCCGTCAGGCCTATTTACTTCTACGTTACATACAATCCTAACTGGTTTAATTATTTAGTTTCTAAGGCCCTGGGAGATGCTCATTTAAGGCAGCAAAAGGACTGCAGGCACCAGAACAGCAGCAGCGGGAGGAACACAAATCACACTCTGAGGGGCCGGCCGGTGACTTAGCGGTTGAGTGCGCGCACTGCGCACTCCGCGGCTGGCGGCCTGGGTTCGCATCCCGGGCGCGCACCGACGCAGCGCTTCTCCGGCCATGCTGAGGCCGCGTCCCACATACAGCAACTAGAAGGATGTGCAGCTATGACCTACAACTATCTACTGGGGCTTTGGGGGAAAATAAATAAATAAATCACGCTCTGACACGAAAACTGGAAAAGCTCCACAATGCTCCCTCAGACCCTGGGAGCATCACCATATTTGTGATATCACCCATGTGAAGGACACACTTTCAGAAAAATGGTGTAAACATTCAGTATAACATGTCAAAGGAGGCAAGAAAATGTGTAATAGAATTTTAGAAAGCTTTCTATTCTATTTAGCTTCCTAAGTGATAGCCCTCAGCCACTAGAAAATAAAACTATCCGAAAAGACTTATTTACCCCTCTGTGAAGATATAGAGAAGCACTGGGGTGTGTAAAAGATATTGTGAATTTTTTTTTTTATTGATGTCATAGTAGTTTCTAACATTGTGAAATTTTACATTATTGTTTGTCAGTCACCATATAAATGCGCCCGTTCACTCCTTGTGCCACCCCTAGCCCCTTCCCATTGATAACCACCAAACCGTTCTCTCTGTCCGTGTGTTAGTTTGTCTTCCACATATGAGTGAAGTTATGTGGTGTTTGTCTTTGGCTTATTTTGCTTAACATAATACCCTCCAGGTCCATCCATGTTGTTGCAGATGGGACGATTTTGTCTTTTTTTACGGCTGAGTAGTATTAAACTGTGTATATATACCACATCTATATCCAATCATCAGTCAAGGGACACTTGGGTTGCTTCCACTTCTTGGCTATAGTGAATAATGCTGCAATGAACATAGGAGTGCATAAGCCTTTTTGGATTGTTGATTTCATGTTCTTCAGGTAAATACCCAGTAGTGGGATAGCTGGATCAGGGGGTATTCCTATTTTTAATTTTTTGAGGAATCTCCATACTGTTTTCCATAGAGGCTTCACCAGTTTGCCTTCCTACCAGCAGTGAATAAGGGCTCCATTTTCTCCACAACTTCTCCAACATTTGTTATTTTTTGTCTTAATGATTATAGCCATTCTAACAGTTATAAGGTAATATCTTAGTGTTGTTTTGATTTGCATTTCCCTGATGATTAGTGATGTTGAACATCTTTTCATGTGCCTATTGGCCACCTGTATATCTTCCATGGAAAAATGTCTGTTCATATCCTCTGTCCATTTTTTGATCAGGTTATTTGTTTTTTTATTGTTCAGTTGTGTGAGTACTTTATTTGTTATGGAGATTAACCCCTTGTCAGATATGTGATTTGCAAATACTTTCTACCAGCTGGTGGGTTGTCTTTTCATTTTGATCCTGGTTTCATTTGCTTTGCAGAAGCTCTTTACTCTGACAAAGTTCCACTTGTTTATTTTTTCTTTTGTTTCCCTTATCTGAGTAGACATGGAATTCGAAAAGATCCCTCTATGACCGATGTCAAAGAGTGTGCCGCCTATATTTTCTTCCAGGAGTTTTATAGTTTCAGGTCTTACCTTCAAGTCTTTGATCCATTTTGAGTTAATTTTTGTGTATGGTGAAAGAAGGTGGTCTACTTTCATTATTTTGCATGTGGCTGTCCAGTTTTCCCAGCACCATTTATTGAAGAGACTTTCCTCTCTCCATTATATGATCTTAGTTCCTTTGTAAAAGATGAGCTGTCTGTAGATGTGTGGTTTTATTTCTGGGCTTTCAATTCTGTTCCATTGATCTGTGTCTGTTTTTGTACCAGTACCATACTGTTTTAATTATTACAGCTTTGTAGTATATTTTGAAGTCAAGGATTGTGATGCCTCCAGCTTTGATCTTTTTTCTCAGGATTGCTTTAGCTATTTGGGGTCTTTTGTTGCCCCATATGAATTTTAGGATTCTTTGTTCTATTTCCATGAAGAATGTCATTGGGATTTTAATTGGGATTGCATTGAATCTGTAGATTGCTTAGGTAGTATGGACATTTTAACTATATTTATTCTTCCAATCCATGTGCATGAGATATCTTTCCATTTCTTTATGTCATCATCAATTTCTTTCAATAATGTCTCATAGTTTTCATTGTATGGTGCTTTCACGTCCTTGGTTAAATTTATTCCTAGACATTTTATTCTTTTTGTTGTGATTGTAAATGGAATTGTCTTCTTGAGCTCTCTTTCTGTTAGTTCGTTGGTGGTGTATAGAAATGCAACTGATTTCTGTAAGGCGATTTTGTACCCTGCAGCTTTACTGTAGTTGTTGATTATTTCTAATAGTTTTCCGATGAATTCTTTAGGGTTTTCTATATATAAAATCATGTCGTCTGCAAAGATCGCGAGTTTCACATCTTCGTTGCCTATTTGGATTCCTTTTATTCCTTTCTCTTGCCTAATTGCTCTGGCCAGAACGTCCAGTACTATGTTGAATAAGAGTGGTGAGAGTGGGCACCCTTGTCTTGTTCCTGTTCTCAGAGGGATGGCTTTCAGTTTTTCCTCGTTGAGTATGATGTTGGCTGTGGGTTTGTCATATATGGCCTTTATCATGTTGAGGTACTTTCCT